CCATCCATCCATCCATCTCTATCTATCTATCTATCTATCTATCTATCTATCTATCTATCTATCTATCTATCTATCTATCATCTATCTATCTATCTACCCACCAATCCATGCATCCATCTCTATCATCTATCTATCCATCCACTCCTCCCTCTCTCTCTTTCTACATCCATCCATCCATCCATGTATGTATCCATCCACTCCTCTTTCTCTTTCTCTCTCTCCCTCTCTCTGGCATGAAAGCCTCAGATTGAAACTTCTATAAAGTGTGAATTTTTCTATCATTTATATCTGTTGTGTTTTCCAAACTTGTCTGACTGGGCAATTCCGCAGAGTCGAAGTCCGCACACATCGTCACATTGCCAAGTTTGCAAAAAAAAAACCCACTGACCCACCCAATCAGCATCCAAGGAGCTTTCATAGTGCAATAGTGCTGTTCTAACGTCGAACCCGTCCCTGAGTGAAGCGTTTTGTAAGTCGAGGGCTGCCTGCGTTTTATAGGCCGTCTTCTTCCTTTCGCAGAGACGGTGGTCTTCCATGGTCAAAATGCCCGCTTTAAACCTGGGCGAATTTAAAAACATATTCCAAAGGTTGTCAAGTCGCAAAATGAGTTCCCAAAACCCGGATTCCTCCGGCGGGCGTAGAGAGGAACCGAAGAAATCGGGGAAAGTCTCCGTCCACGTGAAATTCCCCTCTTCTCCAGCGCAGTTGACCGACACTCTGGAAATGCCAGCCGCCTCCCCAAGCCCCAAAATTCCAGACATTTTAAGGTTGCCCGAGGACCGGCCCGACCGACTGTCGTACGAGTCTTTAAACAACCCTGAGATATCTTACGAGGCGGAGAGCCCGGACGAAGCAGCCTTGGTCCACGCCGCCAGGGCGTACCAGTGCACTCTGAAAACCAGGAGCCCTGAGCAGGTGCAGATCGACTTTGCGCCTTTGGGGATGTTAACTTTTCAGCTCCTGCACATCTTGCCTTTCGACTCCACCCGGAAACGCATGTCGGTGGTTGTGAGGCACCCGATGCTCAAGCAGGTTGTGGTGTACACAAAAGGGGCGGACGCTACCATTATGAATTTGCTGGACGTGGGATCCCCAGGTAGGAGGCTCACGCTGCCCCAAACTTTGGTCCTGGTGTTAGAGGGGGGGATCTTATGCCTGTCAGGATTCCAGCAAGAAGGTTCCTCAGGGGCCTGTAGGGGGCGTGCCTAAGCCTACCGTCCCTGTCCTATTGCTTTTTTAAAATTTTTCTTATAAGTATCTATCTCATGTATTCAAAACTATGTTTATTCTTACACCTGCGATCTTGTAAGCGACCGACAAATCAAATAAATACTCAATACTAATATATATATATATACGCTGCAAGCCCCAGGAAGGAAAGATAATCCATTTATTTCCCCCCCCCCCACCCCCCCAAGTTCTTTATCTATTTATATATTCTCTCCACCGTTTTTTTTTTCTTCATATCCAGGCAAAGATAAATCGGGATCACCGAGGAGGACGGTAGAAGAAAGAACTCACAGGCATTTGAATGACTACGCCAGACAAGGACTTCGTACCCTTTGCATCTCTATGAAGGCAATTTAAAACAAAAACAATAATTGTAAAATGGTTAAGCCTAAAGAATTTGCAGACACACTTAAAAAAAAAAAAGAATTCTGATAATGAAAAGTTGAATTAATATTTTTTTGCCTAATTTAGGAAAGCTAGATTAAGCCAGGGCATAATCCGATATCCTTGTTTAGGCGTGTGGCTCAACCCATAGCTGAAAATAAGGGACAGTACGAATTCTTCCTACGGGTAGAAGAATAGAGCTGCTGCCTTGTTACCGTATAGATTGTATATTCCATCCATTCCCTGGCTGGGGAATTCTGGGAGTTGAAGTCTGCAGGCCACCCCTGACCATCCCTCCTTAAAACTGGTTTATGGCTCCTTATATCTAGGGTAGAGGATAGGATAGTTGATCTTCTTCTTCTTCTTCTTCTTCTTCTTCTTCTTCTTCTTCTTCTTCTTCTTCTTCTTCTTCTTCTTCTTCTTCTTCCTCTTCCTCCTCCTCCTCCTCCTCCTCCTCCTCTTCCTCTTCCTCTTCCTCTTCCTCCTCTTCCTCCTCCTCCTCCTCCTCCTCCTCCTCCTCCCCCTTCTCTTTCCCCTGTCCTCTTTTTCTCTTTCTCCTTCTTCTCCTGTCTGTACATCCAACTCCCTCCTAGCACTGACGATGTTCCCTAGTTGGGTCATGAAACATCTGCAAGAAAACCACCCAGCTCAGAGAGCACCCGGGACCCCACAGTCTTCCTCCCCCCCCGCCACCCCCCCCAAACTCACCATGGCCAACTCGCCACAGGACAACCCACCAAAGAACAATCCAACAGTTCGACTACTTAAAATACACAACCAAGCTATTTTAATTTGTGTCACCCGCTTTTCATTCTGCCCTTCCTTTTTGCACCCTCCCTGTTAACGATTCCATTCCATCGTTCCTTTGATATTAGGCTCAATCCCGCCCCGAATGGCCATAGACCCAAGGAAGCCCCCTTGCCACTTAAGCCTTGCCGTTAATATCATTGTGAGGGATGCCTATTTTGGGTGGGCGTTCAGGTGCTGAGCAACGAAGAATATGAAGAGTGGCTGAAAGGACAATTCGTAGCTGAGAGCAGCATAGAAGACCGGGAGCAGCTGCTTCTGGAGTCGGCGGAGAGGCTCGAAAATAAATTAACCCTGCTTGGTGAGTCGCAACGAAAACCCGACGCTTTAACCAGCGCCGCATTAAAGTAGGTTTGCTTTTATACGCAGTTTGTTTAATTGGAACAATGCTTGGGTCGGAACACGGGGTCATGCGATCCCAAATTCCCACGCTTGGCAACCAACTCGTGTTTATGAGGGTTGCTCGCTGAACCAATGCAGGGATTCGTGGCAAGACAGGTTGTACCGATGGAGGGTGAAGCTCCCATAACCAGTGTCTAGCTTGGCCACAGGAGTGTTGTGGTCGTAAGTCGAGGACTACCCAGAATCTTTACGTTCATTTGTTCCAGCCTGCTGCGTCCTTTTTAATGTTTGCTTTGCGTTTCTCTTTCTTTCTTTAAAAAAAAAAAAAAATTGAAATAATGAACCTGGTTGGGGTTTTTTTTTCCCTTTTCCTTTTGTTTTAATAGGGGCCACTGGAATCGAGGACCGACTGCAAGAAGGGGTCCCAGAAACCATAGCGGCCCTCCGGAAAGCCGGGATTAACGTTTGGATGCTGACCGGTGATAAAAAGGAGACGGCCATCAACATCGCCTATTCTTGCAAATTACTGGACGGGTCAGACCGACTTTTCTCACTCAACAGTGAGAATTTGGTGGGTTGGAAGCTCTGCATAAAAGGACTTCGCCCCCTAAAAATGTCATATCTTTGTGGGATTTGGCGGCTGGAGGATATGGTCTTCCAGATACAGGGGTTATGACCATAACTGACGCCAAAACTGGTGTGGCTAAGGTTGGAGCATCAGGGAAGTGAGTTTGGCCTCGTGTTATGACTTTTCTTGCCACGGTGGTTAAGTGAATCAGTTCTACTCTGATCTATTATTTTTTCTTATTCTGGTCTATATTCTAATTCTATTCTATTCTATTATTTCTTGCTTTATTCTATCCTCTATTCTAATTCTATTTTCTATTCTTATTATTTCTTTATTCTATTCTCTATTCTAATTCTAATTCTATTTTCTATTCTATTATTATTTCTTATTCTATTCTATTTTAGTCTAATTCTATTTTCTGTTCTGTTCTTTCTTATTCTAGTCTAGTCTGATTCTCTAATCTATTCTGCATTCTATTATTTTTCTATTCTTTCTCATTCTAATCTAATCTAGTCTATTCTCTATTCTAATTCTATATTCTCTTCTCTTCTCTTTTCTCTCTTCTATTCATTCTATTCCATTCCATTTCATTCCATTCTGTTGTTGTTTTTTCACCTATAAAACCATTGGAGCATCCCTGTGCTCATGTGACCAAAATTTGGATACTTGGAAACATGATGGCTATAACGTCCCCGGAGTCCCCTTTTGCCTCCTTCTGACAGGCCAAGCCAAAGGGAAACGCAGCTTCCCTTAACAACCCTGTTCCTCACTTAAAGACCTCGTGCAGTGTTATGTTGTCAATGTCACGCCGTAATACGCACACGAGGCTGGTTTTCAAAGCCAAGCCAGCTGCAATCAAAAGAAACCAACCTCAGAAACCAACCGAACTGAGGCGAAGCTGTTCTCTCACCCATTCTCTTTTCTCCCCGACCAGGAGACCTGCGCGCAAAAAGTGAAAAGCATTTTGGAAGAGATTGATATCAAATCTCAGACCCCGAAGCCCCAAAACCCTTCAGGAGCAGCGCCTCCCACCAGAAGCTTTGCTTTGATCATCAACGGGCCGACCCTGGAATTCGCTTTGCACAGAAGGCTCCAAAACGCTTTCATGCAGCTTGCGAGGAAAGTCCGGGCTGTCATCTGTTGCCGAGCCACGCCCCTGCAGAAAAGCAAAATGGTGAAACAGGCCCAGAAGGAGCTGCAGGTCATGACGTTGGCCGTGGGTGAGTTGCACCTCGTGGTGTCTTGTCCTAGGCTCACCCCCAAAAGCACGAAGCACCAACTTCGTAGTAGTTGGTAGACTAAGGTAGACTAATGAGCTCAGACCTCATCTATCTTGGAAAGCTGCCCGGTAAATAGTTCCACACTCAGTGCTGACAAGGAAGGGCTGGTTTATACAGGCAAATCTCCACGAGGCTGGAACGAAAGAACCAACAAATTATTTCCTGCAAAAGCCCCCTCCCCTTTTGCTCTCTCTTTTAATCCCCATTCCCCGTCCACCTGTGGCCTTACTCCCACGTCGACCCTGAGTTCTTAATTCTGCCTTCCTTTGGGCCGCTCTGCGCATGCGCAGGCTGGGAACCGGTTCCAGAAGCTCCCCCGCCTCACTGTTGTCCGAGCCTGAAGGCAGCTGATGCCTATCAGACAGCCCTGGCCCCATCTCTGTCTCTGACGCAGAGCCCTCGTCCGAGCCTTCCTCAGGCTCCAGGACTGGCCCAGGTTCCTCCCCCAAGCTACTCACTACTGTCCGACTCTGCTGCCAGCTCCATCAGCTGCTGGCGGGCTACAACACGTGGCAGGAAAGTGTGTGTGTGTGTGTGTTTGTGTGAATGTGCCACCTCTCAGAAACTTCAAAACACCCGTCTTTTCCTGCTCAGGATGTTCCACTGAATTCTAAATCCTAAATTCTCAACCATGCATTCCCGGGCCGTTCTATGACGCACGTCAAAGGATTAGAGAGGTCCTTGCTCTGTGACGTGATTGTCCTAGTGGACATATCCCACCAGTATGAGCCAGTGCTCTGCTGCAGCAGCGAAAAAAGCCAGTGAGTCCACCTGTACCTTATATGTAGCCGGCCGTCTATTTGGATGATCTGTGAGTTGTACTTCCTCGGTTGCAGTATAAAACGTTGTAGGGTTTGTTTGTTTTTTTGCGAGGCCCCGATTGTGTCTTTCTGCTTTGAAGGTGACGGGGCCAATGACGTAAGCATGATTCAGGTGGCGGACATTGGAATCGGCATCTCGGGACAAGAAGGCATGCAGGTAGGGGCGTGCGGCTGACCCCTGAGTGAGAGCAACGCTGCCCACGTCTTCATTCTCCAGTACAGGTGGTCCTCGGCTTATGACACTTCATTGAGTGGCCGTTCGTGAGTTACCATGGCACTGGAAAATGAGATTTAGGTCCTTTTTTCACACTTACGGCCCAATGGGTCGCAACCCCCTGGTGTCAACTCGTAAAGCATCCCTGGACTGCTCTTGAGTTGCCACAGGCACGGGTAGGGTTCTGGGGGCTGAAATCCTGTGCAGTTCAGAGAACCCCCCCCCCCCCAAAATCCCACTCCTTTGCAAAAGACGCCAAGAGACTTTAGCAACCGTTTCGCTTCGCTCACTCTTTCCTTTCCGACGTGTCCTTGCAGGCGGTGTTAGCCAGCGACTTCGCCATTTCCCAATTCCAGCACCTCCGGAAGCTGCTCTTCGTTCACGGCCACTGGTGTTACACCCGGCTGGCTAACATGATCCTCTACTTCTTTTACAAGAACCTGGTACGTTGGCGCCAGGGGGGGAAGAAGGCACTGGAAAGGGGGATAGGGTTAGTGGGTTCAGAGGTCAGAGGTCAGAGGCTGGCCGGGGAGATCAAAACAGACCCTCTGTCTCGGGTAAGAAGTTATAGTGTCAATCATGTCTCTCTCTCTTTCTCTCTCTTTATCCATCCCTCTTTCTCTTCTCTTTCTCCCATCCATCCATCTAACGTCTGTCTGTCTTTCTTTCTCTATCTTTCTCTCTCCCATCCATCATCCATCCATCCATCTATCTTTCTCTTTCTTTCTTTCTTTCTTTCTTTCTTTCTTTCTTTCTTTCTTTCT